AAAGGGTGCTTCTACTAAATACTGAGCAAAGGGTCTGAATACTTATGACCATGTGATATTTCAGTTTTTCTTTTTTAATAAATCTGCAAAAATGTCAAATCTGTTTTTCTGTCAATATGGGGTGCTGTGTGTACATTGAGGAAAAAAAATGAACTTAAATGATTTTAGCATATGGCTGCAATATAACAAAGAGTGAAAAATTTAAGGGGGTCTGAATGCTTTCTGTACCCACTGTATATTTACATGTCCAATATTTAAGAAATACATTTTAACACCCTGATTAAATTATTGTACTTTATAATTAGCTGTGTTCAGTTTGACAGTATCAAAGCAAGCAATGGCATCTTTTTTGAAATTGTACGGAGCAAAATCTCCAAGCAAGGTAAAATAGTTTTATTTATATAGCACAGATTGATGGTAGCAAACAAAGGCATTAAAAAAGTTAAGACAAAGTAAAATTCTTTTGAAATTTGATAATACGTACAAGTGTGTACACACGCTGTCTGGCATAGTGGCTAAAAGCAGCTTCACCCTATTTGGCTCTGACCCAAGGGTTTGTATTCTTTAAGGAAATTAGAAATATATTTTGGCCCCATACCCCTGAGTGAGTTACTAGCAGTAACACTTTAAAATATATTCAGACAAATAGTAGCCAGTGTAAGGATTTAAGAACAGGAGTGATGTGTTCACTTCTCCTGACTCTTGTTAGAACTGTGGCAGTAGCATCTCAAGGAGCTGAAGTTGTCCAGCCTTCGTGGAAAGATAAGGCAAAAGACTGTTACAATAGTCCAGGCTGCTGGAGATAAAGCATAAAATAGTTTACATCCAAGTAAAAGCTGAAAGAGCTACATGTTTAAAAAAAAAAAAAAAAACACTGCAGTGACTGTACTCCAGCATGTAGGTAACTGAGTTTGTTGCAACACATGCATATATAACACAAAAGCTAAAACTAATCATGATAAAGGATTAACACCAGCTACATGACTGCTAAAAAGTTGGTAGCCTAGCCAAACGGATTAGCAGTAGCAATTCATAAGCTCCCATTAAATCATATTTAAAGATGGATTTATTAACAAGAAACAATGTTGTGTTAAGTTTACAGATACAAATTTTTCCAAGTGTCCCTTGATTGTTACACAGAACTGAACAATCTAATCTAACAGGGACAGATGTACCTCATTTTGGATGGGGTAGCTAGGCTAGGCCCACAGGACTGATAGGGTTGTCAGCGTGAAGCTGCCGATAATGTCATGGGTGAACTCAATTAAATAGCCAGACGAGGATAAGTAAAGAAACACTGTCTCTTTATTAAGAGCATTAACAACGAACAAAAACAATACAAGACGCGGTTTAACCACGAAACGCACTTACAGGTCGATAATAAAACAAAAACAATACAAGGTCGATAATACAGTCCAGGGTCAGAACCAGCAAACACAGTGTACATCCAAAGAAACCAAAACACGTTGTCCAAAAGGGAAATCCGATATATAGAGAAGCAGTCCGAGTTAGAAGGGCAAGGCAATACGGTGGTCAAAAACAGCAAACCAGGGTCAGAAGCTAGAAAATCTGGCAAGAATTAATGCTGGAGTCTAGAACAATCTGGCAGGTTACTGGTGGGGGAAGGCTGCTTATAATGGGGTGAAAACAGGTGTACTCAATGAGGAGCAGGTGAAACTAATGTGAGTGATGATTAAAGTAAAACGTCCGAAACTGTGGTGGAAACAAAAACAGGAAGTAATGTCAAAATAAAAGCAAGACAGGAAGCACACGGAACCGAATCATGACAAGGGTGGCACATTTGAAATACATGTAAAAAGTAAATTAAACTCCTAGTTCTATGAAATAATAAACCATACAGTATTATGAATCAAACTGATTATTTTGTGGATGAGAAACATATAGTGCTTTCTTTAGCTACAGTACCTTTGGCTATGCTCCTTATTTTCTCCCAGCTGGGGACATCGATGTAGTACAGTGTTTCCCCCCCACACTGAGGCAACTCATGCCATGTACTCCACAGCAACAGAGTTGAAGAAATGAATGAAAGCATCCTGCCATGATATAAAATAAAACTAATTTGTCCAATATCAAGTATGAAGCCAGAAAAATGTTAGTTGTATTTAAGGTAACAATTTTTCATAGTTTTTCATTTTTCATTCTTTACTGCTGACAAGCATCATATTTTGACTCTGGCAGGGGTGGCCACTCAAATTCTGGGCGTGGCTGGTACCACCTCTGGCCACACCCTGGCTCTGCTCATGCAGCCTAAATGTCGTTGGTGGCAAAGGGACAAAGACTGAACATCAGTCTGAAAAAACATCCATTTAATGTTTTTTGTCCATCCACCCATCCATTATCTATACTGCTTATCCTAGGGTCGCAGGGAGCTGGAGCCAAATCCAGCTGATATTGGACAAGAGGCAGGGTACACCCTGAACAGGTCGCCAGCCTATCACAGATATTTTTTGTTTGTGCAATTATTGTACACTAGGCTGCTACAAGCTAATAGGCAGGGCTACGTTATTGAGTCATTTGCAGATTATCACAACCAGCAGTAACAACCTGTGGTGCTGGGCCATAGTTTCAGGTAGGGGGAAAAGACATACACTGGGATTTAGGTTAGAGGACTTGTTGGATAACTCATCAATTAATAGAATAATAATTTCAGCAGTACTGCATATATTAATAAATAAAATTCCGAATAAATAATAAAATTCCGAATAAATAAGTAGAGGGTTTTAAAAAAAAATTCATCACTAATTATTTTCTTGATTACTTGATTTATATTTTTATTGTCTTATTTTGTCCAACAAACAAATACAAAAATATTCAGTTTATCATATATGACAAAGAAAAGCAACAATTCCTCATATTAAAGAAGCTGGGACCAGGAATGTTAGTGATTTTTGGTTATAAATAGCCATGACAATCTGATTTTAAAGTTGCACAATTGCTCACATTGGCGCTATTTTATATATTTTATGTTACAAAAGAGGAAAAATAATAATTCCGCAGTTTCTATTTTTATTTATATACAGCTTATAAATGATTATTACGGACACTGCCACTCTTCTGTGTTGTTTACTGAGGAATTTAATGTAAACCAGAAGAAGTGGCTTGAACTTTTCAGTTCTATAGGGCTAATTAATTTGTAAACCAATCTGAACACTGTTTTTAGTTGTAAAGAGATGTTATCAGTTATTATTTTCAGCCCAAGTTGAGAGTAACCTGCAGCAAGAAATGACTTAATTGCTGAACCTATTAATTTACCATTCATTTGCTTTAGCCAAATTAATCACAATATAAAATATCTTCAAAGTTGCAAATCATAGTGTATGCTGATGGCCAAAGGACAGAGAAATTTGTTCTGTCACAGAGCAAATAATGAAAATGTGTCATCTTGGATGAGAAAGGCAGACGCATACTGCTCTTCAGAGAATTCCATTTTCTAATTCTCTGACAGACGCAGAGGGGGAGCTGAACACATGTACCTCCCCCTCACATACACCAATTACCGCAATGAGCAAATGAAAGGCTGTGTCCC